CATGTAAAGGACAACATCTGAACATGAAGTGAGGGAGTGAAGAGTAGAATAGCTAGAAAGTGAAAATCCAGGCATGCCTGGTGAGTTGAAAGAAAAGCAAGTCAGTCATTGTGACTGACTGGAGTGAACCGGATGGAGATAAGGTCAGAGAAAGAAAGTTGGAGTCAGGATCTGCAAGGCTTCACAGGCCATCGCAATAACTATGCCTTGCTTTTAAGTGAAATGGGTAGTTACTATGGTTTTGAGGGAAAGATTGACGTTCTCTGACAGAATCATACTGCTTCCACTTTGAGATCAGATGTAGGTGGGACAAGGGTGGAAGAGACAAGGGTGGAAGCAGGGATCTCAGTGAGAAAACATTATAATAATCCAGGCAGGAAGCAATGAAGTTTTTTTGAGTAGGGTTATCATAGTGGAGGTGCAGAGAAGTGCTTCTAGTCTAGATGAATGAAAATACTACAGACTTGTAGCTTAGATTCGCTCCAAAAGGGGAGTCCCAAATGAAGCAGTGGAGTGTCCAACTGGATCTACACATTTTTATGTGTCAGTTTTCCCAAGCAGCTGAAGGATCATAGGTATCATGAAAGGAGTCAGGGCTGGACAGTCAGACAGAGCTGATCCAGATTCTGGTTCCTCTGTTAACCAGCTTCATGGTTTTGACTGATTCTTCACTCAAGCTTTTGTTTTTTTCTAATGTATTGAACTGACTCATCATTTTTCTTATAGAAATAGCAGCATGATGAAATAAATATTGCTACTACATAGTAGATATTCAAATAACGGTAGTTTTCTCTAACAGGAATATTTCTACCACCAGCACCTACTCCTGACCCCAGGGATGAACTCCAACACCTTTGAAGCTGTAGCCCATACGTAAAGGTTATGGAGGAACTGACATCAAGGGTTTTCCAGATTAATATTGATCTGGTCACCCCATGTCCCCCTACTATAGTGGGAGATAATCTAGTCCCATGGCATGTTATCTGTGTGATTTCCAAGAGCATCTACTTCAGAGGGTATTTTCTGTTGAGCATTTGCATGAAACAGAAATGTGCTCATACTCAGTGCCCATTCCAAGTTGTCCATCCACATGTCTCTTCAAAGATCTCTTTATCACCATCCTGCAGTTGTGTTTTCTTTTCTTTATTAAGATTCCAACCACTCAGTCAAATCAGCGTAGATAATACAGTTAACCATAAGCAGTGTATTGATTATCAATATATACCTGTCTGGCCATTCAGTCTTGCAGGCAAAGTGAGCAATAGGATGTGTTGTTCAAGTTCTGTCCACAGAGAGCATTTCTCTTCCTCAGTGTCTTTTGGGACACCCTTCTTGGGTATGATAATGTTGTAGCCATCTTACTGTCAGTGATACCAGCATATTTTGCAGAATCATCTGTAATCCAGAGCTCAATTCTCTTACTTGGTTAACTGGTCAATGGAGTTGTGGGGGTGAGAGCAAGGCAGGGACCCTTTTCTTTTCTGATCTCCTACCCATTCCTTCATCTATGTGTGAGCTCTACCCTCAGGTCCTATGTTAGCATACAGAACTCCAGCAGTTCATACAACCTCATATCATATTTTCTGGAGGAAGACAGGTCCTCTCTTCTCACAACCAACAGTAAAATTTCCAGGCTTTACTCTATTTGGTTCTATTCTATTCATTTGCCACTCTTGAACTAAACTCTTTACGATGACAAAGTCATTGCTGATTGGCTTATTCTGAAATAATCATTGGAACCATTGTGATATGATTACACTATCTGACTAAGGGCTCGTCCAAGTTTGTTCAGGAACTGATTGTTGGAGTAAATCCAATCCCAAATTAGGGTTTCTAAACAGATAAAGGAAAATCTAGGTTCCAGTAGGAATCAAGGAGAATGAATGATAGATGAATAACCAACAGACATCCACCACTTCCACCACTACCATATCCATGTGTTCTAATCAATGGGAGGAGGCAGGAGGGGGGCAGGAAAAGAGACCAAAGGGTCAGGAAATAAGAAGAAAAGGGAGCAAAATATTGTAAAGAATATCAGAGGAATATCTAAGCTACATATAAACACTCAGTAGTAAAAGAAATGAAATGGATAATCAAAAAGGAAATGTGGAACCACCATCCTGTATCCTGTATTCCTAATTTGACTCCAAAAATGGAAGAGATACAAAGATATATTTATGTAAACTGAAGAGGGGGACCCCCAAAATATTTTAGCAACACTAACTTTACAAACACTTACTAAAACACTGGAAATGCTCTTTGCTTTCCCCCCCTACTGAACCATTCTGTTGTCTTCTTACTCTTAATTATAATTATTAGTATGGTGTTGATTTAAAGATTTGATGGCATTCAATGAATAACTTTTGTTTTATTACATAGCATGCATGAGATCAAGTAATTTCTTACCCTCAAATATTATCTCACTGAGTCAATGATTCTCAACAGGAGTAGCTTTGTCTCCTCAGGAGACTCATGGAAATGTCTAGAGACATTTCAGTTGTCATTGTTATAACTAAGGGTCCTATTGGCATCTAGTGGGTAGAGACCAGGGATGCTGTGAACATCCTATAAATCACAGGACAGATGCTCTACACCAAAGAGTAATGTGGCCCAAAATGTCAATAGAGGCCAGGCTGAGAAACCCTAATCTAAGTGCACATGGGTGTTTCAAGTCCATTGTCTCAAGGGCCATTCTCATCATTTGGGGCCCAAATTAATGCTCGGCAAAGACTAACTTGTCTTTGATCAAATTTACTCTAGTACTGACCCATCACAGTTTCACTCAGAAGAGAATCACTCTCAAACTGAGTGGAACTGATAAGTAAATCCTGATATGGCGAACTTCCAGTCTCCAACCAACCAAGCGTTTCCATTCAGACTGATACACTGAGTTATTATCCCTTACCTATATACATTTGAGAAAAGAGAACTATGTTAACAGAAGTTTCACTATGTGAGGGCCTGGTCTCTTGATGATAATATTGCATATTCAGTTTAGTAAAATATTGCTGATCCTATTAGTAATCTGATTTTGGTATCCTAATCTTTAGGTAGGCTTTTATCATTTTTGTTCTTGTGAAATATATGTTAGCTCACCAAATGTATATATATTTCTTTGCACAGACAATAACTTGATCCAAACTCAGTGACATTTACCAGTTTACACACTTAACATATGCATTCAAGACCACAAGCATACTAGGGGCACCATTCATGCAGACTACCTTTCATTCTCTGATGTTTCTGATACGTGCTTCCAAATTTATGTTAATGCTGCTCAGGGCCTATGGTAAGCTAGGCTATGCTAAGGAACAAACAACCTGAAAGAGCTCAATAGTTTATTTCTTTTTTTTTTTTTCTTTTTTTTTTTATTTTTTGGAGAGGTTTTTGCTACGGCGCTTAAAACTCACGCCGGGCACGTGCGCTCGCCAGACAGAGAGAGACATAGAGACAGAAAGCAAGAAGTCACCCCCCAGGGGGGATGGTCACGCCGCAATCCCTTCTCCTCCATTCTCCTCTCGGGATCTTGGGCATGCACGCGCACGTGCCCGGCGTGAGTTTTAAGCCACTGGGTCTGGGACGCGAACCGCGGTCAACTACGTGGGAGTTCAGCAACATAGCCATTATACTAACTGCTGGTTCCCAATAGTTTATTTCTTTTTGACACAAAGGCCACCTGCAAACCCAGCCGAATCTTCAGAGAAACCGTCTTCTATCTGGTCCAGGCTGGAAGTGGTTCTATATCCTGAAGTCATAACATCTGGGACATACAACATCCTTGATTATCAGGAAAAAAGAAGAACAACAAAAAAGATGAGAGGACAGACTCATACTGGGTGCATATGTGTGCCCAAAATGCAGAGAGAACAGTGGAGGAGAAGGGATCGCAGCATGCCCGTTCCCCCTGGGAGGTGATTTCTCACTTTCCCTTTCTGTCTCTCTCCAGCAAGTGTATGAGATCTATGGCAAAAAAAAACTAAAATAAAAGAAAAAAAGAAACACTAAAGTCTAATTCCTGATTGTGTAACTAAGACATATCAAGAAAAGGTAGCAGTAGGGGACTCTATATATCTCCTTGCAAAGTGGATTGCTCAACAAACAGATCCTGACCCAAGGATTTGAATGTAAGCACTCAGAGAGATACAATGTTTCTATTTCACCACTGTGGGGAGCACTGCATAGGGAAGCCATCTTGAGCTATCCACCATCTTGGAAACCATTAGGCTTCACTTCCTCACTGAGCAAACCCTTTCTCAGAAATCACACGACCAACCATTCTCCCTGGAAGTGGTTGGGTTTCTAGGCAACAGGAGAGATCCACCCACATCAATGATTGGTTTATGCTGTTCTATCTCATTTGCATTTCGGGCAGCCAATTGGTGCCCACCAGCTGTATATAACTCGCCATTTTTCCTGAATAAACGGAAGTAGACGGAAGAAGATGACTGGATCAGCACCTCGTATTGTGTGTGTGTGTGTGTGTGTTTCTCCCATCTCTCACTCCCCCAGGGTACCTGTTCAACTGTCCCGTGGGTCGGGACACCACAACTGAAAAACGCTCTCAGCTTTTAGAGACCCATGCCATTGGATTGAGCCTACCTAGAAAACAGGATAGCATTCCCAAGTCAAGTTCCATATCCTTAATCACATGTGTGAAGTCCCTTTTACTGTATAATGCAACATTCACAAGCTCCAGCAATTAGGGTATGGAGATCTTTGGGAGTCTTTGGGCGCCCATCTGCCTACCACAGAAAGTATGGGAGTGAGATACCAAAAAGAAGAAAGTTTCAAAAATGTGCATTAACGAGCAAGTCACTGCTGTAAACACTTGGAGTCCAACCCCCTGGGAACACCTGGGAGATGGTGTAGAACTCACCTCAGAGTCTTCTTACTCTAAAGAGTGTTTAATCCATGATTGACTGTAGGCCACTCTTGGAAGTATCATAGACGTTGCCAAGGGAAAGCCAGGAGCACAGAGTGCAGGGAAACTGAGAGGGCTGCAGAAATATGGGGAGCTGCCAACAGCGTTTGCTACACTGAGGAAGAGTTGAATGTTAAATAATTCTTGGGTCAACATAAAGCAATGGATGAATCCACCACAGTCTCTCCATCGCCTTTTCAATGTAGAGTGATTTAATAGGATGACAGGACCACCAACTGGAAACGTGGGTCCTTTACCTGTAACACAGCATTTTTAAAAAAATGATTGGTCAAACCCTTGTCCAAACCTCCATTTCCAATCTGAGAAGCTGGATCAGGTAAGTTCTAACATTCCCTCTAGTTCACACATGCTGCTGAGTTTACAGATACTTTCTCTTGTCATGGGCATGACATACATTTAGGTAACTTAAATAATACAGAGTGATTTTCCAAAGGAGCAGGGAAGTCTTCCCCCTCTCTAGGATTGATGGGACATGTTTCAGTGTTTAAAGTCCACACACTCCGAACATCTTAGCTGCTTCCATCTTTACCACTGAAGCTGAGGCACGCTTAAGAACATTTCATAGGAGAAATCCACAGCAAAGCAGAAAGGGGCTACAGATTTTTCCCAACTCAATTTTAAATGTAACTCACAGTCCACGTACAAAAAGTGACAGGAAACAAAACAAGAATTATTTCACGGGAGGGTGTAATTATACTGAATGCTACCTAGTACTGACTTGGGATTCTAGCCAGAAAAAAAAACAAGAACTGACTAAGTAAGACCTTAACCAACCACAAGAAGTTGGAAAGTTGATAAAGTATACCAGATTGCATTCACCTTGGGAATGAGTTTTCACCCTTCAAAAAACTTGTGAGTCAACGTAAAATTTTCTAGGAGTCCCTGTGGTAGATTTGAAAATGCTCAGCAGGCCAGCTGCAGAGGCACAACAGCCATGCAATGCTCCATGATGCTGTACCACATGAAAACGTGCCAGGTTTGAATCTTGAGGTCTCCCTGTGTACACCAGGCACATGTGCATGCACCTGTGATACTGGCTGGTTAAGTCTGGGAGTGAATCATGTCCTGAAGACCCTGTTGGAGGTGGCTGCCTCGATCTCAGTCTCAGTCTCTCTTTAAAGAGATACATTAATAACTTTAAAAAGTAAATTCTGAAGAGACTCCAGATTCGCAATTTATTGTGGTTCACAAAGGTCACCCCTGGGAAATCGGAACTGACAAAGATCAGGGTTAGAAACATGGATATGAGGCAGAATCGGGGCTGTCTGTGCACACTCACTAGTATATACTGCTAAATACCCAGACACCATCTCTTTCAATCACTCACCCTAATCCCTTTGGGTCCCTACCATCCCACTTATCAGCTGTCTCCCACCGATGGAATTATACACCTAGACATAGACCACAACCCCATTTGCCCTCGGACCCTGTTCATCACACCCATACTGCTTTTAGAGGAATACATTGCAAGCTTTGGGAATGTTACAAGTTTGTACAGGGGGCAGTTTAGTTTCTGTCCCCTAAAAAGTTGAGCAGACACTTTTCATTCAAGGTTTTCTTTTCTTATTTTTCCTGTGTATATTTGCTTATTTTTCCCTTCTAAATTTTACTTAATCATTGCACATTGTTACAGCTTGTGACAATGGTTTTGCCCAGCGTGAATGAGGTGCATGTCAACCAAGTAGAAAATTGTACCATGTACATATTTGTCAACAGATTACTTTCCATTTTTGTGCCTGAGCTCCCTCCTTCCCCATTTTTTATGTTTTTTTTTCCTTTGTAGGAAGAACTGAGCCTTGAACAAGTTCTATGAAATGCATATATTAGATATCTGAGTGATTTATTTTGAAATTTGGTAGTAATCAAGTTAATGTGAACAAACACATGACACTCTAACTGTACTTAGTTGTGACCATTTTAAAGAAATTATTTTGTCTTTCATGTGTCCCATTTCACAGTTCTGGATGCCTTCAGATTTCCCCATTATATTGCATTTACATAACAAAATTGGAAAGTCATTGATTTTAAATCATTTTTAATTATTCAATATTTGCTTAGGTAACAGAAATAAAGCATTCATAATGGGTTGCTTAAATGGAATGCGTCCAAACCATTTGTGTTTGGTTCTGTTTAGTTTAACCTTTCAAAATAATAAATTTTAATTATAAAGTATAAATAAGAAAATTACATGTACGTTTATCCTCGCGATAATTTAACTTCACAATTCAACTTACATTATTAGCACATTCGTGATTCCTAAAAATGTTCTTAGATAGGAGACAGGTTATACACTTCACTTTAAAAGAAGAAAACTAAGGCCAAGAGAAGCTAAGCCACTTGCGCAGGGCTACTCAGTGAAGAGTCTGGAGAGCTCTGACTCTGGCTGGAGTCCTGCTCTGCCCTACAGCAGGAAGGGCTGTGGTGTGCTGGCAGCATTAGTCCTATAGTCACGGTGAGAAGGGGACAATGTTTCCGGTCTCCAGACTCTCTTCTATAACTTTTTCCTTTGACTCTTGTATCCAATAGCTCTCTGGCTGATTTCTTAGCAGAACTTATGCTCAAGGAAAATTTAAAATTAGTTAAACAGAGCAGCAGATGGCATAACGGTTGTCTTACTGAACTCTCACATAGTCAACCACAGTTCAAGTCCTGGACCCGGTGGCTTCAAACTCTGGCCAGGTGTGTATGCATGCGTGCCCAGAATCCTAAGAGGAGAATGGAGAAGAGATTGTGGCATGGCCATCCCCCCTGGGTAGGGAGTGATTTCTCCCTTTCTGTCTCTCTGGCAAGCACATGCACCCAATAACAAAAATCTTTCTAAAAATAAAATAAATAAAATAAAATTAGTTAATACTAGTGTACAACCTAGTGTTTTCTTTCCCACAAGAATTGCACTTTTAATAGAGTTCTGGAGCTTGAACTCTAGAAATAAACTTTTCACTGAACTTTGACCTAGAAAGATGTGGTGGAGTCTTGAGGGTTTGTGAAAAGGAGTTGTGAGGTAAGAAGTAAGTAGGAAGATCGCTTACACACCAGTTCTGTTTGTTGGGCAATAAAGCCTTTCATGATTAAATGAGGTTTTACTTTTCTTTTTTCAAAGCCTTCTTTACTCATGCTACCCTCAGTAATTTTTATAATTTAAAAAACTTCTTTGAGAAGTTCCATTGTGAAATAAAAAATTGAGGCTTTACTTCTTAACATGGTTCCTCAAAACTTGTTCTCTTAGAAACCAAGTGGCTTCTGTGGTTTACATTTTCATCACTGTTTGAAACATATTTTCCAAGGGAGAAGCCACACATGCCCTCTGGTGCCCGCTGGCTTTGGCAGCCTGTGAAAGCATTTTTTTGGTGACTTTGGTCATCTAACACTCAGTCTTGCAGACACTATGTAATTACTCACAGGATTCTGCATATAGTTTTTTTTTTTTTTTTTTAGTGCTTACAAAAATTTTAAAAATTGCAGCTTTTAATTTTTTATTTGCTTGTTATTGAAATATTTTTAATATAGCTCCTTAGAGTTACCATTCTGCATAAATAGAAAGTAACAATGAAAATTCCAAATAGAAATGTAAATTTAGAATGTCAGAGAATTTTTTTTGCTGTGAAGATATGGGTTATTCTTTTTCATGAATACTCTATTCATGTTAGAAAAAAATACACTGAAAGAAAAGCCAGATTTTGATCTGTTTGCATGAGTAGGATGGGGGTGGAGGGGAGGTGGTGATGAACATCTGAGGAAGGGAATAGAAGAGAGAAGCTGAGAGAGTGAGTTAGTCAGAACAAAGTAATGAACTTGTAATCAGAAATATAAATTTGAGCCTGGACTTAGCCACCAGTAAGCTGTACAAACTTACATAAGTTATTTAACTCCAATGAGTCTCTATTTTCTCAGCTGTAAGATGAGGGGTCAGACAACATTGTTGAAAGAATCCACCCAATACACCATGATTCCATGAAACCTAGTCTACCAGCCATGGGGAGCAGGAAAAACAGTAAGAAACTCCTCAAAAATCTTGGCTGGAAGCCAACCCTCAGCTGAGGCCTCAGCGAGCAGATGAATTCAATGACTAGGTCACTGACTTTTTAATGTATTAGGGCCCAGAGATGCAGCAGAATAAATTTTCTAATAATATACACACTTCTGTGGAAAATTTAAACTTAATATAAGATTCAGAGTCTTTCTCACACTAATCAATAAACATCATCACTTAGAGGTAATAGATTTATTTTGAATTGCTCTCTGGAATACGGACATTGAATAAATTCTTAGACTTCATTGCCAGAAATGACTCAGAAAGAGAGAATATTCAGTTGCACTTTCCCTCAATCCACTCTGGTTGAGGGCACTTCATTGCTCAGGCAAGAATTCACAAACCAAGCCCAGTGGGGCTCACAGCAAGAGATCAATCCACACTAGCGTTGACTTCACTGAGTACAAATGTTCATTGGCGAATGTAACAAGAAGGCTAGCTAGCTTCAGGTTCCAAGTCAAAAAGAGATACTGAAGTACCCAAGTAAGAAACAGTGACTAGCGAATTCATAACTGAAGCAGATGCCCTAGTATTCAGATTGAGCCTGAAGCCTGGTCTACACTTATTAGCATATGGAAACGCAACTGGAACCTGGCTCCCATTTATTATTATGTGTTCAAAATTTGAATTAAGAAAATTTAGCCACATTTTTAATTTACTCATTGTTACCAAAGACCTTAACTAGGCAAAGCAAATTATTATTTGTTATAATAAAATCATTAAGATAATCTAGTGCATAAATTTGGTCTCCATAGACATCCCTTCTATTGGTGTTTACTCGATGAACATAAAGGAAGGCCTATCCTATCACTTACCATGTTTCTGGATGAATGGTGACTCCAGTAAGCAAGCAGCAGAAATTCATTTATGCTCTAAATCCTGAAAAGAACCCAATTCCAGGGTGATTAATCTGAGGAATCAAACAGAACTCAGGGGCTTGTAAGGTAAAATTGAATATTATATGATTACGAGAATACATGTATCTTTCTGAGGAGATAAATCATAATCCTCAAAGGATCCTATGAATTAAGCCAGCCCATAAAGTCCATAGAAAAGCATCCTTAGTCCAGAAAGTACTTGAAGACAGGACAGAAACTTCAAAATACAATGTACATTTGACGGTTCCTGGCAAAGAGTCTAAGATCAGTCATGATCATGTCAGAGTGATGCCGTAGTGCACCGATTTGAGAAGTAGTGGATGGGGGCTGGGAACTTGAATGTGTGCCTCCCTCAGGGGAGGGACGTGTTGGTTACAGGTCAGAAGCCCCAAATTCTTTCCTAACATGAAGGTTGAGGAAGGTGGTTTTTAAAAATGAAGAGGTTGACTTTGGGAAAGCTAGGAGCTTCACAGCAGAATGAAGAAATCTTTGAGAGCACTGGAGTCACAGTAGGCAAGAGGGCTATTTTGTGTTCTGCCCTAGAAGAAATCTATTTAACAAAATATGTAGAGGCAGCATCCAGTGGAAGTAATGGGTTCATAGGTGGTTGCTTCATTTGAGGACCAAGAAGAAAACATAGGCTCCCCAGGAATGAATGACAGTAACTGGACTTAGACTAGAGATAGAATTAGAGGGAACTAAATGGCAATTTCACATATAGATTTGGAACTCGGGGCAAAAATCAATTGCTTTGATGATGAAGCATGAAATGACAAAACAGCAATGGAGCTTAGCCACAGTGGCAGTTATGCTTCAGCAAAAACTGAGTTTGGGGGGGTCCAGGCCAGCAGCTCCCCAACACCCCCACGTGCCCAGGTCTGGGTCTCTACACATTGGTTGATATGTATAGTGGATATTTTTACCTAGAGTACATGAGGAGAGGTCTGTGCATGAGTACCAGGGAGACAGGTGGGACAGAGAAAGACAGCATAAGGTGACATAATACTTATTCCTACTTTAGACTATTTTAGACCCTTTGGAGTTTCTAGAAGAACACAAGCACATTTGTTCGTAGGTCCCGTGACATTCCCTCTGAGAGTCCGAGAAATAGTTGGTAAATATTCTGAAGAGACGGCAAGTGTACTTGCGCTAAAACTGAGAGGGTAGCAATCTAGAAAAATTAAATATTAGTGTTCCACTTCCTCTCCACTCCCTTGCTCTGCAATTCCTTGTCCTCAACTCCAACTTCCCTCCTGGTTATATAAGATGGCACTTCATAGAAGAACTTCACAATTGTTAAGATTCATGAAGGACCTAGATTTTACCTGCCGCTATCTACTATCATTGCATTTTCTCCTAAATAATTTTACTGCGTTTAACTTCATAAGTGTTTTCTCAGCTATTGTGGTTAGCAATAACTAGATATTGAGGGGATTTCTTTCTTCATTGTCCGGCTGCCACTTACAATTATGTCAGTCACTGGTGCTTATGATGTCATGGTTTAGTGCCATGGTAACAAATATGCAGTCACAAATGCCTCATTATCATTCCATTAGAGTGATGACATATTTATGGTGTTTAGGAATAGCACATCGTCCTCCAAGAACGGTGCTCTCATGTTATACTCTCCTTTCTTTCTCACTGAACATCTCTCCCTGTGGTTTGCATCATTTCCTGTATGTATGTCACACTCTTTGCTTGATTTGGGTGGAGGAGAAAAATGAACGCTTGTTTAAAAGAGATAAAGCAATACACAGGTATAAAAACAAATGAATCTAAAAGAGAAGCATTTATTATAAGAAATTTGAATTACTGTTTAATTACTACATAAAATAAGCTGTCTGAAGCTTTATGAATAGGGAGATTTACCAGCCTGTCTACTGAAAATATTAACTTTAAAAATGAGAAACAATAAAATGAAATGTAAATAATGAGTAAACACATTTTCTTATATAGCACTATTAATTACATATCCACAGTCACTGGAAATTTTGGGGCTCTGATGACTTAAAACAAGTATGGATTTCTATTTCATTTAAGACACGGAGACAGATAAACAATTACCAGGTCACACATTTCAGGGCCTTCAATGAATATGGCTCTTTATTCTTGCCACCACCATCCCCCTGCTTTTTATGAATCCTATTCAGAAGTGAAACATTTATTCAGTTCAGGGGGATTCTCTCTGGAGGGGAAATAATTTTATCAGAAAGACTCCCTGGTGATCAGGCCGACTTGGAACTGCTGTTAATCAGCCTTTTTGACATGGTAGCTTGAATAGCACTTCCCATGATGCTTTGTGCTTCCACCTCAACACTTTCCTTTTGAACTCACCATGACTCATAAGTGCCTTTTTCTCCCTTTGTGTGTCTGAAGTTATCCCACTATTAACTTTAATTGGAAAGGTGCCTTTTGTCCCCCTAGTGTAGTCAGACACTAACCACTGAACTCCCTAGGCTGAAATTTCAGGGGTAGTAAAAACTTAGTTTTTTCACCGAGGGAGATAAATAATGATAACCCTGATTATTTTACAGCGTTAACAGAAAGTTACTAAAAAAAAAAGATGAGAAAATTGTACAAATATGACTTTTAAAAAATCTTTTAGTTTAGAAGTCTGACATGAGATTAAATCTGTGTTCACTTTAGGATTTAATAATTACCAAGTAAAATAAAATCCTCCTCTAAAAAGAGGGGGAAAAAATAAAACATAGCTGGAGAAATGGAGACTCTGTGAGGATATTTGCATTAGGATCCAAGGACCTTCTTGTGAACAAACAACCATGAAAAAGTGAGAAGGGATTGACTGAGCATGATATCTTAGCAGTGAGGAGAGATGATTTAACCACCAATGGGTAGGTGCCTGCCCACAACTGCCCTCTGATCCAGTACCCCAGATACTCATTTCTAGACCCTCCAGAAAATACCTGTCAGTGAAAACAGAAAGAATGGTTTCACCTGACTCTCTGGAAAACTTTGGGAACACTGGAATCTTTTACTTTGGAACCTCCTGGCTCTAACTTCAGGGAGCCAGACTCAGTTACTAGGCTTTTTGTGCTTGGTGGAGCTCTTGGCAGCTCTTAGAGGCAGACAGCAGTTCCCTGGAGAGCAAGCATCAGTCATCCACACTCCACATCCACAATATCACGATGAGCCGGGACACTGTTGTCAGGTATCCAAAGTCTAACACCCCAGTAGACTATGGCTGCTTCACCAGGATCCAAGATCTTAAGAATGTAGCACAGAAATGGTGGCTTCTGTGTGGTAGCTGGGAGGAAGCATTTGTGGTTACATCAGAAGTATTCTCAAAACTTATGAATAGGACTGGCTTCATGGTGTAGCAGTTAAACACTATGCCTAAGGAGCTGCATCCCACATAACACAGTTCAAGTCCCATCCCTGGTGGCTTGAAAAACACACCATGTGTGTGTCAATGTGCCTGAAATTCTGATGGATGGAGAAATGGAGGCAAAAAGGATTATAGCATGACCACACCTCATTAAGGGATTTTTTTTTCTCTCTCTCCCTGTATCTTTCCTTTCTTTTTCTCTTTCTGGCAAGTGTGTATGTCCTCTGGTAATAAAGGAAATACTTTAAGGAGTAGAAGGGTGTTATCTTACTGAGATTTATGTTAAAGTCCTATGGCATTAGCAGCAGATAGAGACAAGAGCCATAGAAATACACTACTCTGTGCTATTTTAAGTGACCACCTGCCTACTTGACCTGTAGTCTGGTGCAGTCTAGAAAAATGGCTGATTACTATACTGGAGGCAAACAGCTTGAACAGTTCCAAATCACTGTGAATCCAAACAGTGATTCTCTATGAGAGTGTAGATTTGCTTTCATTACCATCCTTGTAGACACAGTGTTCACAATAAAACAAATCTGATCACATTGACATTATCAACTTGAAGAGTGAACACAAGGCTAATCTGTTTACTTCTATTCTTGTCAAAAGTACTTTTTGTTTTATTTTAGGAACGGGATAATGTTACAAAGTACAAAGAGGGGTCAAGTCTCTCTCATGCAACAGGGAAGATCATTCATCCAAAGGAGAGGGTCAAGGAGATCCACCAAATTTTTACAAGGTTGTTAATGAAGTGATGAAAGATCCTTTTATTTCTCATGTCAGTCTATATGTAAGCATCTCTATGAAACAAAAATCCCTTCTTGAAAGATGACAACATCCAGATTCGAGCCTTGGCTTCGCCAGGCCTCAAGACCTTTAGATAAGTCACCTGACTTCTCTAAAGTTGACTTTCCCTATATTTAAAATTATGCTAATGATATTCATCCCACTTCCTTCAGAGATGTATTGACAGCAATGATTTATGGGAAAATGCTTTGTGACTATAAAGCATATAGGAGAGATAAGGCACAGCAGTTACAATTCCTGGTTTCATCTGGTTTCGAGCTTGACATGCCTGCCAATACCTTTTTGCTCGTCTGTAGTTCTCATTCCGCTGCCTCTTGCTCTGGCTCTACCTATGATATGGTCTTCAGAGGAATGACTGCTCATTCACGGCCCGTGCAATGAAGCAATCTGGGAGTTTACAGACTTTAAATGAAATCAACTTAATCTGTGACCATATCAACGAACAACGCAGCAGCACCCCACCTTCCCTGCAGTCTCCTTTCTAGCATAAATAATAAGAAGAAAACAGGGCAATTACTTCCTGGCTAATTTTGCCTGTGTTGCTCTCTCTTTAGTAATCTTGCTCCTTTTTATTCATATCCCATTTCCTCCTTGGTCTGCACTCTTAGGACTCTTTCCTTCATTTTCATTCTGGATTTCTTTCCAAGCCCTCCCAGGTAGACTAGTACATTGTACAACTTGGGATCAAAGATATCCAGGCTCAAATTCTGGCTTTTCTGTTCATAAGCTGTGTGATTAAGAGGAAATTAGACACCCCTCTTTATCCTTGACTCCTTCTTGATAAACTAGTGATAAAAATACCCACCTTGAGCTGGTCCTGTGACCAGGTAGTTAAGGAAGACAGATTCTACATGGTCAACTGTACAATTCTGATGGCTTAATAAACTTGCCAGGCATGTGTGTATGTATACCCAAAATCCAAACAAGACAGAAAGATAGAAGAGAAGAAATTGTAGTGTGATCATATCTTGCTTGGGGAGGTGCTTTTCCTCTTTCTCTGTCTCTGGTGAACACTCACACACTCCGGCTTATAAACAACAACAACAAAAAACCAATATCCTGGGCCAGTAGATGGCATGGTGGTTAAGACCCTGGATCCCTCATGGTCAACTATGTGCTTTAAGTCCCAGACCCAGTGGCTGAAAAACATGCCAGGTGTGTGTGCATGCACGCCCAGAATTCCAGGAGAAGAATGGAGAAGTAGGGATTGCAGTGTAGCCATCCCCCCCCCCAGGAGGTGATTTTTTACTTTCTCTCTCTCTGATTCTCTCTGGTGAGTCATCCTCTCTATGGCAAAATAATAATAATAATAATATCTACTATGTAGAATAAAGGATTAGATATTACATGTATAAAATGCCTGGTCCACTTCAAGTCAATATTTAATGAATATATCTCATGGACTAGACCCTATTCAAGACACTTGGGAATATGATAATAAATGACAGGAGTACTAAGTGCTAGATAAAAGTATCCATTACTCTCTGTCCTTTCCAATTTTAATAAAAGCCTCCAGATACAGGGATGGCCTTGAACTGCAAGGATAATGAAGTTTCCCTAAAGCCAAATCTCACCACACTACAAAACCATAGAGATCAAAAAGACGGCAAATCAAGTTCCCCATAACTTACTCTTCTGGCATACATAAGACCAAGAAAAACTACCACTTACATGTTTATGTAAATGGAGAAATAAACATCTCACATTACATGTGAGATGTTTCTGAAGCCCATACTAGAATGGAGAGTCAGGCAGGGAGTATGCAGAAAATAAGAGGAGGGATCAAGGGCCTTCCAGTGGCAAAGCATAGACGTGATCACTCCCAAAAGGGTCTACCCTGAGTGGGGAAATACTGAGAACAGGTCTGATAATCAGTGGCATAGCAGAGTCCTGGCCACTGAGGGTCTGAAAGAAAGATGTTCAGAAGTATGTATGAACAGAGTGATGTGTTGGAAAGAGGAAAATAGACACTCTTCTTTTTCCTTGACTTCTTCTTGATAAACTGGTGATAATAATACCCATCTTGCGCTGATCCTATGACCAGGAACTTAAGGAAGCTAAATACTACAGAGCCAACTGTATAGTTAGTTCAAACTCAGTCCTGATGGCTTGAAAAACATGCCAAGCATGTGTGTGTGCATGCCCCAAATCCCAATAGGATGGAGAGATAGAGAAGGAATTGCAGTGTGACAACGTCTTGCTTGGGGAGGTTCTTTTTCCTCTTTCTCTGGTTAATGCACACACCCTCTGGCTTATAAAAAAATAAGATTCTGGGGACAGGGAGACATAGAAAGGAGGTTATACCTTGGAGAACTGACCATGAGAAGCAAGTAGGAAGCA